CCCCACCCCCCCCCCCGCCCAACTCCGCGCAAAGGGGATAATCGCACCACGCAGCACGTTGTGTAAAAAAATTGGTCAAGCACTCGAGGCAGTTGTAAAATGCTTTCAACTGTCTATGGAAGTGAAAGCACCAGAAAATATATTAAGCGATACGCAGGTGTCATCCCTATGCAAGGAAGCAAGCACAAGATGACGAGCACCCTTAGCAGGATGAAGCGCACCCTTCATCATGCGAATCGCCGAATACCTCACGGCGTTTCGCGCTTGGTGATGTATGAGCCTGGTCCGGTGAGAACCCGGCGTGCTCCGTCCCGGCTTTGTAGGGATGCGAGGTCAATGGTCTAGTGACGACGGCATGCACGACTTAGAGTATACCCCCCAACGCTACACAATTTCCTGCATGAACAAGCCCGTACTAAATCCAATATATAGAGGGGGCCCAGCAACGCCGAGCACGTCAAGCGCCGTTCAAGCCCCCCCGTCAGGGATTCGGCCGGTAAAGAAGTCATTGACGCTTTCTCGACCCACATCAAAAGGGGTGCATACGTGCCTTCCGACGGCACGTGTCCAAGGCGCTGCTATGGTCCTTTGCGCCCGAACCAAACCATGGTTTCTTTCCAGATACTGGCCAGCCACCACACGGACATCGAGTTCCTTGACACGGATTCAACATTCCCTCTCGGTGAAGTTACTGTATACCTGGACATGAGAGCAAGCTTTGAGGACCGTGGGATCGCGGCCGAGTTTGTCTTCTGCGAGTCAGAGTTCCTCCTGAGGTGTTTCCGTGGGACGACGGGAGAGAGGGTGGCAGAGGTTGAAATGAGCCTTGTTCAGGAGGTGCAGGAGATGTGAACTGCATGATGGTGTGTGTATCCTATGCGTGGCTACTCCTGTAGCGACTGAAATGTGTCTTGATTAGCGTGTCAAACATGGAGATCGGACGCACTCTTCTGTTGCTGCCAACATGGGTCAAACCCGCTGACGGCAGTGCAGCAGCTCTACACCATCGGCTCAGGGTTGTTGATGTAGTACCGTAGTAGTGGCGGTTGCGGTATTGTGTGTCCTAGGGGGCACATTTCATGCACGGGCATAGTACAATCCACGTAGCCCCTGGCGAGCTTGCATGCACCGCAGCCAGCCGCGGTACCGTCCGTAGCAGAGGAGAGAGAGAGAGCTTGGGGAAGAAGAGTGTTCACAATGAGCGAGACGTCTCAATTGGGAGACGATCCCTACCAACGACCCCGTCGGCAAGACAGCCCTTCGGCTGTTAGAGCCCCCGTCACACCCCGAAAGGTCCCGCACCAGAAGATTACGGCCGGTAAAGCCCCCGTGGTACGCCGTAAGGATCTCGCCGGGGGCGGGGGTTGATACAGTATAGTACAGACGACGAGTCACTCTCAGACTAGCCGTCAGCGGAGAAGGGGGACTCCGTTGAGGACGAGAGCTCCGAATCGGAGGAGGACTTCGAGGAGGAGAAGGCGGCGGGCAAGGAGGGAAAGGAGAAAGAGGAGGAGGAAGGAGGAGGCGGGGGA